ATGAAGTCTCTTTTTAAATTCATCAAGTTCATTCATTTGTTTGATGCTAGTGGGGAGTTTGTTGAACATTTTCATGCTTTGATAAAACGGGCTCTTTTCTGTAACAGTTAGTCAATGTTTTGGGTATACATAGTCAAAATTTCTAGTGTTATATACATTTTGTGGTAGACTATTTTCAAAAAGATGTTTGTTTCTGAAAAGGAATAACAAGAGTTCCTGTATATAGACTCCTACAAGTGTACGTATTTTAAGACTACTGAATTTGCCTCTACATGATTCTCTTGATTTTAGTTTCAGCATAGCTCTTAAACGCTCTTTTTTGTACGATAAAAATTTGCTCTGCATTTCTACTAGCTCCATAAAAAATACTGCCATACCCACAAACAGATTTAAAATTTGAATGATAGACCGTTCGGATTACATCTGTGTCGACATACTGACCAATAACTCTCATTGAATACAACACTGAGTTCAACTTTTGACAAACATTTTGAATATGAATGTTGAAACTCCTTGTGCTGTCTATGTGTAGTCCTAAGAATTTGCACTCATTTTCTATTTTAAGTGAAATATTTGTCAGCCGAATTTCTTGAGGTAAGTCAAATCCTGCATGGTTTGTTTTGAACATTACAGTTTTGGTTTTATTGTCATTTAATATAAGTTTGTTTATCCTGAACCACTCATCTGCCTCACAGAGGCTTTCTTCAGTTATGGATATCAGACCAAGATAGTATACTGCATTGACCAGCAAGTTTGTGTCATTAGCATAATTTTTCATTTTGCAATTTTTCCCACAAATCTCCTTCAAGTAATTTAGAAAAATTATAAACGTCATTGGGCCAATTATACTACCTTGGGGCATCCCAGTATCAAATGATATTATGTCTGATTCAGCTTTGATTCCTTCCTTGTTTATTAACACCATTTGTTTTCTACCTGATATATAAAAATAAGGTCATTTCAGCGCAGGGCCACGTATGCCATGTGAGTCCAGCTTTTGTAGAAGAACTGTGTGGTTCAAAACATCAAAAGCTTTTGACAGGTCTAGAAATAATCCCAATGCCAAATTATTGTTCTCAAGTTCTAACAAGATATTGTGAATGAACTGAAACATTGCTGTATGTGTTGATTTTCCTTACTGATATCCAATTTGCCTCTGATAACATTACACTGCCTGAAGAAATTCATCACTCGTTTGCATAATACAGCTTCAAACATTTTTGAGAATGAAGACAGTAGACTAATTGGTCTAAAGGTTTGTACTTTAGAAGAATCCCCCTTCTTCAATATGGGTTTGACTAATGCTAGCTTGAGTGAGTCAGGAAAAACTCCGTAATTTAGAGAATTGTTCACAATATATACAATCGGATCTATCATCTCTTCTATACATAATTTAATGATTTAAGAGGGGAATTCATCATGTCCACTACTCATCTTTTAATTTTTATAACAATTTCTAAAATTTCATTTGCATTTGTTGGTGTTAGCAGTATTGATTTGTCATTTGATTTTATTTTGTGTGAAAACTTTTCAGGTTATTGTTGCTTCAATAAATTAGAGACTGCACTTACAAAGAAGTTATTATAGTCGTTTACTACAGATTTTGCATCCATGTCCCCTTTATATTTATTATCTTTATTTATTATCATGTACGTACAATCGCAAATGTCATTACCTCAAATGTCATTATCACAAATGTCTGCAACACGACCACTGTCATATAAGCCAACAACAACAATTTGTTCAATCTCAAATTTTCTCCTAATTTTTCGAATATTTCAATAGTTATTCTTGACGGAGACAAATCAAAAATCATCATTTTTTGTTATGAATCAAGTAAATGTCTTCAAACATTAAAAATATTAAAGCTAACAGGACATGCTCTCAATGTAAAAGTCATCATTACCTCAAGAAAGACTATAACGACCTTCTCCCCCAACTTGACTCTGCAGAACAGTAATAAGCAAGAAGGAATCCCCGTTTAAATGTTTTTGAGATTTCTTGGCGACTCAACCGTTTCTTCCATGAGCACTCCCACGGCAGTTGACGCTTTACCAACTTTGCCAATTAATATTTTTACAATCCCGTACTTTATTATCCCTCCTATTATCCTTGAAGGAGTTATTTCTCTTTAGATAATTGTTCCGCAGATAACGTTTTCAGTTGATGGGAGAGAATTAGGAAGATTGAGAACACTGGAAGAATGATGGTCAAAATACTCGGTGACTGAAGATGGAAATTCGAAAATGATTGAAGTATAACTGGACACAACATTTTCAATCAGTTGAAATTACATTTGGAAAAGAGATAATTTTCTTTTCAGATGCTGATTTTACATCAACTGTTCGATGGAATGTTGAAAACATTGAGTTACCGTCTCTTTTCAAGAAGCATTACCGTTGATCAATTGTTTGAACAGTATCTGATCCGTTTTCCCGAAAAATTTGGATTTTTCTGCTACCAATTTCTTTCATTTGCATTTTGTTCTTGAGATGTATCGTTTGAAGTATTGTTTTAAAAAATAATTTCATACATCCAGTCTCATGATTTCTATTCCAAGTCACAAATACTGCTCATTCAAAAAACGATTGAAGATAATAATAATAATAACGTTTATTCACTAAATATAGATAAAAAAGGGGTGTTCCTTGTACGTGATATAGCTATGTCAGTAAATAATACACAGTTAGTACAAACGAGGTAAGTTGGAATTCGTCATAAGAAGTGATATAAAATTAATATTGAAAATTATTAAAATTAGTTTGAATTATAAAATAGTGCTTAGGATCGGGCTAATATTAACACTAGTTCAGCGACAATAGTTATTGACGGTTGAACGCAAAATACATTTTATATGTGATAAAATGATCAATGTTTATGAAACTAGTATGAAATGAGATAAAATAGTACAGAATGATAAAAACAATAGGTTACTTATTAGTCAGTGGGCTATGCTTCAAGACTGACAGTCTCGAATATACCTACACAGTAGACTGAATGGACTGACGCCTATCAGAAATCAACTACTCCCCTGGCTAATACCACGAAGGGCGTTGGATTATATCCGACAGGCGTTAGTACAGGAATCTTCACAGAAAATATCCTGCATATGCAGTTGGTAATACAACTGAAAGAGTCGACCCTCAATTTTGGAACGGAAACGGAAAAGCTTTTATACAAATGCACTGAATTGAAGAAAATATCTAATTGTTTGATGTCGGTTAGTCTGCAACATTTTTAAAATCTTCGTATTCGCGGCAAGTCTCTCACTACAGAATAACCTGAATCAAACAATGAAGAAAATTAGTTTTTAATTTTTAGTGCATGAAGTTTCTCTTCAAATTGTTTTTTTGAAATTTTGTATTTTCAAACATTTTCGAATCGAAGTGAAAATAAAATATATCGAGTGGTCCAACGAAAAGTATGCACCTTGCTTTTTTTCTTTTTTTGTAGTTTAACGCAAAAATGCTCGAACAAGTTAATTTTGCTATTGAGGGGGACACATTTTAGATGTACTTTTCTACCTGTGCCTTCAACCCCCTAGCGAGGGTGAGTAACAACCCTAAAATTTTAAATGGAAAGTGGGGTCGGGTGATATATCATTTGAAAGGGCACAAAATTATCTTTCCAATGATACCTAATTTGTTGTATTTACTTGAATAGTTATAAAAAAAGCAAGAACATTTACTCGATATTTTTGGTGTTAATGAAAATGCGGAAAAAACGGCATTTTTATCACTACTACATTCCTCAATTTCTCTTGTGCGTTTTTTGGTTCAAATAACAACAGCAGATAAGTGTACAAAAAGAATTTAGGCAAGCGTTCATTGCTTTTGAAATTATTTCAACTTTACTGTAAAAATGGTTTATTCCATTCCTGAACGAGTTGAAATTGTTAAACTTTTGTTTTCAACATAATAGTGAAAAATAAATGTTTTGCTACGCAGCCCGAGTCCATAGAAGATCTTCGCCAACGAATTACAGCAGAGTGCAGAAGTATAAAACCTGATATGCTACAGATTGTTAGGAATAGATTTGAACAAAATCTGTATTATTGTATTGAAGCAAATGGGTCACATTTTCAGCACTTGCTGAAGTAGGATTCTACTAAGTCAATTACACATTTCAAAGTACTGGGTTGTAGTTGTTTTTCTTCATAATACCTACATGTTTGAGTGAAATACAACAAATTAGGTATCATTAGAAAGATAATTTTGTGCCCTTTCAAATAGTATATCACTCAACCCCTCTTTCTATTTAAAATTTTAGGGTTGTTACTCACCCTCGCTAGGGGGTTGAAGGCACAGCTAGAAAAATACATCTTAAATGTGTCCCCTACAAAAGCAAAATTGACCCGTTTGAGCATTTTTGCGTTAAGTCACAAAAAAAGGAGAAAAGCAAAGTGCATACTTTTCGTTGGACCACTCTGTATCTTAAAATGAGGGAAAACTTAATTTTGATTCAATTACCTATCAAACCCAGCAAGGTTGAAATAACATTATTACCAAAATGACTTTTATTTGTTGATTCAACTACGACATTCTTTATTATTTCATGATCAAGAAGACTAAAGTCGAAGAGGTTATTAAAATTGAATTTTGATGATTTGGTGAAAAATGTAGCCAAACTGGAAGCTGTCTTGAAACTTCCTCTGCAAAAAAAACGTGAGTTCTCAAAAGCGGTCTGTTCTCACTGCATCGACCTTTGAATGTGAGGAATCGCTTTCCGTCTGCCAACAGCTTTCACTCCAATCAAGTGAACATATAAAAACAAATGATAACATATGTGCGAGTTCGAGACAACTTTGTCTAGTACCAGATATATAAACGAAACATTTCTGTGTTTTGAATTCATTTAGCTGTCTGAATCTGAAAATATTTCAGGCAAAAACTATGCCTTTGAATATGACTATGTCTTTGTATTGAATTTTCTAACACCTCGTAATAAATGTTATCATTTAATTGTTAATCAGAACTGTAGTAATGTGTATGTATGTATCAGCTATTCTCAGACGATTCCACATATTTTACTGTTGTTCACGAATTGAAAATAGTGTTCAGTATGAAAATAGAAAACTAGATTTTCTGTGTTCCGCCCAGTGACTCAAAGGGAAGTTGATATGATAACCATCCATTTCATTTATTCAGTTGTGATTGAGCCACACAATGAAATATCAGTAGTTGCAATTATATGTTAGAACGTTGTTGACAACATTTAAGAATCATTTTTCGTTTTATGCCAGGTTTCTCATTTTTTTATGGTAAGTAGAACTTTACAGTAGTTATTCGTCATTATAAAATTTGTATTGGTTCCTCAATCGGTGGGCAAATTTTGGAGGCTTAATTCTATTCTTACATTCTTTACCATGAAAATAAGTTAGTTCATGTACATTTCCTGCGGATCAGAATTTTCGAACTGCACTAAACACAGTTGTTGCAGCAGAAAAATGTATCGACGATAATTGAAAAACTTAGAATTCTTGTAATTCTATAACAATCCTCCATAATTTGGTGTCAGTTTGATCGAAACCACATAAAAAATTCTACAAAAGTTGTTGAAAATCCGTTTTAATGATGATAATCGCATGAAAATTGAGAAATGAAACTTTCTACGTTTTTAAACCACTTGTATTTTCAACTAACGTTACTGCAGTTTCAATCGAATACAATATACTAAAATAAATTGTTGGTACTCTAATCTAAAAACTGACGAATACTTAAGATCGATTAGGTCATTTAGTAGGTTACTTCTAACGAAAACATCACCGCTGTCTGCGAGAGTGTGCGGGAGAATTCGAGGCAGTTGATTTCGCGTCGCTCACAAGAACTTGGTCTTTCGCAGACCACAGCTTGAAGGATTTTAAATCGTGACTTGGTCTTGCTTGGACAAAATTCAACTGACCCAGGAACTGAAGGTGAACGACCATAGATAAAGATGTGTGTTCGCTGAATGGGCTTTGGAGCAACTGACCCTAATTTTAATCGAAAAATCATCTTTAACAATCAGACTCATTTCTGAAGGAGTACTGGTATGGATTTTAGGCTGACGGCTTTATTGGTCCATATTTTTTTCAGAATGACGTTGGCTTGGCCATCACTGTCAACGACGAGCACTGTAGGTCAATGATTACTAACGTCTTTCAACGTAAAGTGGATGATCTGGACACCAACGATATGTGGTTTCAATAAGACGGCACTACGTGCCACACAGCTCATACCACATTGGATATTCTAAAGGAACGAACTCACGTAGAGGTGATGGGAACTGGCCACCAAGATTGTGCGATTTGAATCCGTTAGACTTTTTTTGTGAGGGTGTCTCAAGTCGTGTATGCCAATAAGCTACAAACCACAGTCTTCCTCAAAGCCAACACAACACATGCCATCGGTGAAATTCGGCCAGATTTATGGAAAATTTGACGTTTCGGATGCGCTTCACCCAGAGATGCTGTGATGGATATTTAAACGATGTTGTATTCCACACATAGGTCTTTCACACTTCAGATCCAAAGATAGGAAGCACTTAATGAAAGACCCGTTAGATGAACAAAATCATAACTTCACAGTTGTTCTTAAATTATTTTCCATTGCGAGTGAGCGTCCAACATTTTCTAGTCAAACCTTGTTTCCCAACGTGAAACTTATTCTTTGAACTGACACATCGATGTGAAATATATAACTTCAATAATATATATCAATGACCTCTTTTCTTATATGTTACCAAATGAATGCATAGCTTTTGCTGACGACACAACTGTGAGTGGGCTACGCAATCAAACTATCTTGGCCCACGACAGAGCTTCTTCCTGGTTCAGGTGCAACAATCTCATGCTGAATGAAATTAAAACCCAAAACCTATACTTTTCAACTAATGCCTCTGTTGTAAACGGACATCATGTTAAACTGCTGGGTATCACCCTTGATGACTCCCTGAACTGGTCAGATCACGTAGAGCAGCTACGTTTGAAAATATCAAAATATATATTCCTTCTTCGAAAGCTGAGGACTATGATTAGTGATCATGCATTATTATCTGCCTATCATGCGTTCTTTCACTCTCACATATCATATGGAACAATTGAACAATGTTTCCTTTTTTAGCAACGGAGACCGAAGAATCTTTTAACTTCTGTAAAAAAGTTTTGTTCTTCCCATTCCGAATGAAAGTGGTATGTCTTTACCTTCTTACAACTGCTTGCCATAATATTATTTTTGTTGTTCTCTACTAACCCAACCGCTGGACGTTGGTTACGCGTTCAGTTTTAAACTGAGCGCAATGTCGCCGCGCTGTGCGTATTTATCCCGTGCAAAGAAATCCAGATCGTTCTCGAACACTAACGCGCTGGTTTGGCTGGTCGGTTCTAGCCGATTCTAGCTTGATGGCGTCAGCGGCAGATCGCTCACCGCAACGTTGCCGCTGTTTATGTTTAATATTCTGACAATTAGATTTTTTTGTGTAATTTTCGGAAGCTTCTCTGATTTTTGCAGTTTGTTTTATTTGAATTAAAATCGTTGTGAGAGCTATCAGAATTGCCTCCGCGAGCTACCGGTAGCTCGCGATCGACAGGTTGGCGACCACTGGTATAGAGTCTGTAGAGTTCGAAGTGAAAATCTCGATATTTTATCAGTTTTTCCTCCTCATTTCTGACGATATTCGTCTCGCGAGGAGCTGAAAACTACATGAAAAATATCGTCATAATATTATTATTATAAAACATGTGAAATTATAATGTGGTGAACACTAGCAAATCCTAATGTGACGAAAAAATTAGCACCTTTCCAAAGTGCATCACTCATTAATATAATGAGTATTGATGAAACTTTATATAGCTTCATAACTTGTGAGTTTCTCCTGAGGATAATTATTAAAACATTAAATTCTAATGTCAATGGTGTCGAGTTCAATGTCGGGCACTGGTCGATTTTTGTTAAACTTTTTCCACTCGATGTGCAAACCATTTAAAATTAAATGAAATAACGACGATGAATGTTTTTGATTGCTTTTTGTAGTTCGCCTCTTTTCATGAAATTCAATAGTACTACTCTGATTTGCAATATCCTTCACGAATAGAGTGTTAACCGAAAGAATCATCCAGGATTTTGCTATAACAGTACCGATTCGCCCATTTCCTTCAAGTTCTGTTATTAATTTATTAGCTTTCTGCTGTAACGTAGAGGTAGCATGTGAATTCATTTGGGAAAAATGTTTTTCATCATTTTCTCTATATTGATCCTTATACGTAACAACAGTTATATCACCCCTTTGTCACTTTCAATTGCAGTTCTCTGCAATGCGATTACCTTTACTTTCAACAAACATTTTTTGCTTTTATCATTGAACTCAGTGACAAAATGTCGAAAACTTTGGGTTTTGTGTTCTTTGATTCTTGGTCAATAAAAACTCATTTCCTTAATCCAAGACTTATCTTTTTCTTTCATCTTGTCTTTCAAATTGAGTGAATGAACGGTTTTGAGAACCACTTCATGTTCAATTTTTCGAAAATCCTGACCAATCCAATAAAGTTTTTTGGTTCATATGAAATAACTATCAATTTTGAGTTTTCGCCTTTCTGAAAGATTGCAAATGCACGGAGACACCCCGAATTTCCGTATTATCTTATCTGTACCGTTTTATTTTTGGAAACGTAAATATCATTATTATTTTTCTAGCTTGTGTAAAGGTAGAACTTCAAAATGCGTCATATTCCTGGTTTCGGCATTCTCCTGTTCTTCCTAATAGAAGGATCTGCCAGTCAGGAATTCAACATAACCCCAATAACAACAAGCTCTGGACTCTACTACGAGAAAATAGGGGATGTTTTGCTTTCCAACAGTAACTGGGAATTTGTAACGTCTGTAGATTATGGCGGATACCTCCTCTTTTACCAATATTTGCAAAACCAAGCAGAAAAATTGCACGGATTTTGTCAGGAATACCAGTCGAAGTATTGCGAAGAAAGGTATGTATTTCAAAAACTTTCAGTTTTGTGGCATGTCCGAGTTTGAGCAGCAACAACTTGATAGTCAACATAGCATTAGATTTATTCATTCAATTACTTATGTCCCGTAACATTCGCAGAACGTCAGTTCAACACAGATTCAATAAAATCTGCAGAGAACTAAAAATACAACAATAATTAAGAGACTGAACTCAGTTGACATAGTACATAGTTGATACATCTGTTTGAAAGTGATTGACAATGATTTATTATGAATTTCATATGATTCTACTACGGTTTGAACTCTATGAAATAACAAATAAAATCAGAATGGATAGCTGAATATTAATCATCTTGACTGAAAATATCCAACTCAAACGATTCAAGAGAACAATTTGTTATTAAGAAGATAAATATATTGAAACTAATATAAAAAATCCTATTAACAATATACAGTGTGTAATAGCCAAATAGAAAAAAATCATCATTTCGTTTACTGTACAAATTTAAAAAAAATCCCGAAACACGTCAAATGTAAATTATAATTCGACATTCTTCAACGTAAAAATGCCACGCCTACCTTCAACCCCGGTAGAATGACAGGTACAACCCCCAATTTTTTAAAAGTATAGATTTAGGATATATCGTTTCTGTATATCTCTCCATTCTCTATTCAAAAATGTTATCGCTTTCACGTCCATTGCAACAATCAAAATGTAATGAAATCAAAAACTAAAATGTAATGCAAAACAGTATGAAATGTAGAATACGAAAAAGAACTATGGATGTTAACGAAGTAGATGAATGTCCACCATGAACGCATTATTTAACATATCAGGCGTGAATGACCTAATCGCAAGCGTTATTCAAATCTTGAGGTTCAGTTTTGTACACAATGCTCTTTGAAAAGAAATCTAATGATGTAAGATCAGGTGGTCGCGCTGGCTATTCAATCGATCCCTCCCTCTCCACTGATTGGGAAATGTGGTATCGAGATATTGTCGGACATTCACTTGGTAATGTTGTTGTGCTCCGTCTTGCTGAAACCGTATCGTATCAACTGGAACTTGAGGGTTTCCTGGATCAGGATATGAATTTGCTGAACTTGGAATGACATCATTTTGAAGTAGTGCCAAATATTTATCGCCACTCAAGTTGCCCTCAATGAAAAAAGGACCAATGATATGGTTTCCTACAATTCCTGCCCAACCATGAACCTTTTGAGGGTATTGCGAGTGTTCCTCTCTCATCCAGTGAGGATTTTCCGTTGACCAGTAGCGCCAATTTAGCTGATTAGCATGACAATTAGGAGACAAAGTACAGTCATCAGAAAACATAACGTCTTCTAATGTTATCCAACATGTCCATCATTTGCTCACAAAAATAGGTTCTTCTATCAAAATAGTCTTCCATGTGCTCCTGAGTCGGTATCATTTTATAGAAATACATTTTATTTTTTTTTAATATGTTTAATATCGATGTATGGCTAACATTGAATGTAGTGGATGCCTGTCTACTCATGTATGTGGGTTCTCCTCAAACTCAAGCATCACATCTAATTTGAGTTCTTCACTCATTGCACTGGAAGCTCCTTTTTTATCTTCCCTACATTACCAAGCACGCGAAACTGCTTCTCTATTTTGATTATTGCTTCTTGGGCGGTAAATTAGGAAACTTCTTATGAAATAGGCGAGCTACTTCCTGTTGTGCTCGGGTTTTATCTTCATAACCAATCATTTGTAAAACTGTTATTTTATGCATTTCCGTTAATCCAACCATTTGTCAGACTTGAAGTTGACGAATTTCAAACTCAAATTAAAATTCAACCGATGTTGCCATGAAAATTATTAAGACTTATGATGTAATGTTTGGAAACTTTTGTGTAGTAATGAATATTACTGGAGGTTTTCCCCAATACCAAATATTTATTTTCAACACTTCGACACGTGTTTCGATCACCAAGTGATCATCTTCAAGAGGAAGATAAAACTGGAAACTTATCGAAACTGAAGGTATTTATGCTATACAGATACATCATACAGGTAAACCATACAGGTATACTACCCTAAATTAATTTTACAATTAGCCTTATCTATTATATTACATCTAGTTGCCTGTTGTTGTTAACTTGTCTAACTAATCTTAATGAACTGAAGTCTATGAAATGGTTTTGTTGCAAAATATAATGCGACAACTGCTGATTTTTCAGGTCTTCCATATTTCAAGTGTACTATGTGTACTATGTGTGTACTATGTATATATTTTGCATCGCAGTCCTCACATTCAATTTCGTAAATTCCAGACTTTTTCGAATTCTCGACTTTGTTCTTTGGACTTCCCAAAATGATCTGTAGTGTATGACTTGTTTTAAAAACCACCTTCATACCTCTAGTTCCTTGAAAATGTGAACTGTCAGGAATATACCTGTACACGCTTGTTTCAACAAGCTTGTTGAAAACTGCGATGCAACTGCAGACAAAAAGATCTATTAAAGTAAGACATAAGGAACACATAGCACGCTTAAAATATGGAAGACCTGAAAAATCAGCAGTTGCCCATCATATTTTGCAACAAAACCATTCCATAGACTTCAGTTCATTAGTATTAGTTAGGCAAGTTAACGACAACGAGCAACTAGATGCCTATGAGAGTGTAGAAATAAGTAAACGTAATAATAGTAATAATTTTAATAACCAAACAGCATACTATATAGCTTATTGAAATAATATTGTTGGGAGTACTGATTACTACATAAGGACACATTGTAAAAATATAGTTAGATAGGCAATATTGTGGAATTAATTTTTGTATATAGCTGAAAATTGTTTTATATATAGCTATAACATTCAGACATTACATGAGGACATATTGTAAAATAATAGATGAGGCTAATTGTAAAATTAATTTAGGGTGCTACACCTGTATGGTTTACCTGTATAGTATAAATATGGTTAGTGATGCAAGTTTTTCCAGTTTAATCTTCCTCTTGAAGATGATCACTTGGTGATCGAAACACGTGTCGTGGTGTTAAAAATAACGATTTGGTATTTGGAAAAAACTCTAGTGATATTCATTGAGTTTTGAGTTTTTTAAAGGATACCATCTGAAAAGAGAGATCTTTTTCTTACAGTTTGTGCCTGAAAGTTACGTCTTTGCATAATCTATGTAAAGAGTTAATTTTGAAATCAACTACTTTTATTCTTTCTCTGAAAGATTTCCATCTTTTCGCAGAAAGATGAAGAAGTAGAAAGCCAAAACCTGTCTTTCTCCAAAATGTTTCTCTCCTAAAAATATACCCCTTCCTGGTATAGAAAAATTGTTTCAATTACTGGATTGTTTTGAAGCAAAAAAGGTGGACCATGAACTCCACTTGAGGTTTGAAGGGCCGGGCCATAATTGTTGTATGACTTCAGAAAATTGTTCAGGGAAACAGCATTTTTTTCCAAGTATACCTTCGTGGTATATTTGAACAAACTTGTGATACATCCAAATTTTACTTGATCTGATCACTTTCATTATCAAATTGCCTCGCAGAGAATCTTCACGTTATTCAAAATTGAATATTGTTCTTTAATTCCAGCCTTTGGAATTGGATATAGTATGCAGAAAAGTATTTTGTGGATAGAATAATGTTTGGAAAATAGCCTTTTCTCATTCAAAATTACCACATTTCGTTTCATCATACTGACACGGAAATATTTTTGATAGGTTCACTCAGATCAGAATTGGACTGAACAGAATCGAGGAAACAGATGAAAATATGGCCAACTTTCTGGGAATAAAAGTTGAAAATAGAAGAGTCAAACGATTTTGGAAGGAAGTTGGAAATTTTTTCAGAAGTGCCGGCAGTTTTATAGTGGGAGGTGTGAGGTCTATTTTTGGGGGAGGAGGAGGTAACGTGGATTTATCAGCCTATGATCGACAAATTGGGGATCTTCAAAGCGGTCAAAGGGAAATAGAAAACAAGCTCAACCAACAGACAACCCTGTTCTTGGTGGACTCTGAGAGAAAAGCATCTCAAATTCAGTGGCTGGAGAAAACTCAAGGAGATCTTCAGAACAAAATTGGGTCACTGGAAAGCGATTTCCATAAAGATTCTGAAGAAAAACAGAAACAATTGAACGGCCTGAAAAATATGTTAGCTGAAACTAACACACGACTAGAGAAGCAAGAGAAAGCACAGAAAAAGTTGGAGAGTGATGTGGAGGAAATTCAGAATAAGCTGTTGAAAGTTGATGAGGAACTCAAAACCATAAACGAAAACGTAGCCAAAAATAAAGAGAGTATAGACGAGTTAGAGCTGAAGGTGAAACTGAATTCGCTGTCGATAGATTTCACGTTTCTCATGACGCAGTTTGAAACTGAACAGAAAAAACTATTCACGGTGATAAAAAATGCAAAGAAAGGCGATTTGGACCCATACATCCTAACTCCTTTGAATCTCATCCAAATGCTCCAGGACATCCAACCAAGCCTAACCGAAGGACGCCAATTTCCATTTTATCCCAATCTCGAAAACGCCGCTCAGTTGTACAATATCATCACACCGGATGTTTATCTCTTCAACTACACAATTATATTCATCATGAAAATCCCTTTGGTAGACTACAGAAAATTCAACATACACAAAATAACGAGCATGCCAATTCCAGTTTCATCCAATAAATTTGCGTTTATTCTTCCACAAGAACCCTTTCTGCTCGTTGATAATAACGACCAAGAATTCATGCTGATATCTCAGAGAGAGTTCAAAGATTTCTGTCAAGAAACTAGCAAGAATCGATATTTCTGCAAACAAACCCAACACGTTTCAAGCGTTTACTCTAGCAAAGTCTGTGAAATCAAGCTATTCACCACAGCAACAAAAATTCCGGATTCTTGCGACAAGAGAAAGCTTGTTCTAGAAGAGCCAACTTTCTTACAGTTACAAAAACAGAGATCGTGGATTTATGTCGTTCCAGAAGACAAGTCTATCATCATAACCTGCGGATCTTCAAGGCATACAATTGCCTTGAAAGGAACTGGTTTCATTAGTTTTGCAGAGAATTGCATGGCTCGTACCAGTGATTTCATTCTGGTACCGCTAGCTGAGTTTACGAAACCAGTACTATCAGATTTCTCACCTTCGATGAATCTGACCAGTTTCCTCGATTTGTCAGATGTCGATAACTGGGAAGCTCCAAAGAATCAGAGACACAAAGACGTAGTTTTGCCGTTTGACTTTGATCAACTGGACAAGATCAGTTTCCCAATATTATATGAGAGGAGTAGCCTAACTTGGCTGTACTATATTCTAGCGGTGCTAATTTTGCTGATAGCTGCTGCAGCTTGCCTTTACTTTTATCTAGACAGAAACCATTTGACTGATTATTACACCCGAAGAATTGTAGAGTTTTTTGCGTTACTCAACCCTCGGCCAGCTACGGTAGATGAAAGAATGGAGTCTGGAGATACTGGAGATGACAGGTTGAAGCTCAAGGTGAAACTGAACAGAAAAGATGAAAAAATAACCAGAGTATCGATTCACGAACACCAGAGTTCAAGCGATCCAGAAGCGGAGTATCTAACCGTAAGGTTCAAAGTCAAAAAAGATGACGCAGGTACTTCGAAAGCCTTGACTGATTATTCAGAAAATATGAATGATGTTGAAGATGAGGCATTGCCCATCTACGGAAATATCGGATCGATTATGCCCCGTGATGACCCACATTTGAAACAATTGCGCCAACTTAAACCGGCTCATTTTCGATAAAAATGAAGGACATATTTTTCACATTTATATAATCATGAGTTTTTGAATTGTGACTGAGCCTGATAAGTAAAAGTTCTGAGCACAATTATCCAAGGAGTTTAATATAACCTAAGCAATAACAGATATATATTTCGATTTGTTTTTTGTTGACTAGCGTTAGGGTTAAGGTCTCAACCTCAATGTGATATTGAACTCTGAATCTAACTTCATAACTGTGCCATCACATAGGAACAAATATAACTGAAATTGCGAGAAAAGGGGTTTCCGTCGTTTTTGATGCTGAAAATGCTACAGGTGTAATTTATATAAAAAATTGTTTTTCATTCCTTCGGAAAGCAATTTTGAATTGAAAGTTCATTGTCATTACTGTTTTCGATATTCTCTTGGGTCGAAGGTTTATGAGTATTTCTCGATGGTTTCAACTTTGATTGGAGAAATAGGGTGGAATGGAGGAAATTGACCACATCTTAACTGAAAATGAATCTGTTGAAAACTCATTACAGCAGTCCTTCAATGTAAGTGTGTGTATGTACAGTATTACTGACTCACCTTGTGGCATACCAACTCTAATACAGTGAAGCACCGATAATTTAACGAAGTTTTTCCAAAGAGTTGTCAAACTATCAAATTCAATGAAAATAATGAGATTTGAGGATAGATGTATTGGAATATACTTTATACATACAATGGTATATATCTTATGTATCAACAGAGCAAAATATTCAGAGGCGTAGATCAAAATGTTAAGAGTCATATTTCATCAGTTCGGACTTCCATTGTCTAACATAATATAAAATGATTTGAAATCCCAGGAAGAATCTGTAAAAAATTAAAAAGATCTACCGAAAAATAACAATTTTATTAAACAAAAAACTGAAATTACAAAGAAATAACATACAAGCAACAACCAAGAGAATGAAAAAATGAAAAAAATGAATTATTAATACGATCTGAAAATGAAAAATATATTATTGACAAGAAATGAAAATTAAAAATTGTAGGATTGCAAACCAAGTTACGTCACGACGTTTCGATTGTTAGTATTCACAATCGTCTTCGGGTGATGACTAGACTTATTTCTCCGAGATGCGACTATTTATAGATCATTCGAGTGCTTTCACCTATTCCCTCTTCCCTCTCTCCGCTTCATTGGTTTTAGCAGTAGATGACCGTTTAGCGGGAGTTAGTCGTTTTCCGCTTGATTAGAGGTTTCCATATGTTACGTATCTCTACGGTAGCTTGGCTAAATGCGTTGTTGGACAACATATACGCGGCTTCTTTAAATTTTCTCCTAAACCAGTGTTCCTTCTTGTGAATGATTTCAGCTTGAGCCCACTTGCTCTGCTATTCCGGATTTGTTGGTTTCTCCACGCTGTGTGTGTTTCTTGTGCTCAGCAATGCGAACTTTCAAAGGCCTTTTATTTTCACCGATGTATGATTCTCCGCACTCGCAGGGTGAATGCAATTTTTGCAATCGCAGTCCGCGTTTGGTGGCCTGGTTTTCGTGAGGCTGCCACGGATCCCAGATCTGAAGCAGATCCTGATGTTATACTTGGACCCAATCCTTCTTATCCTGTTTTACCATCACTCTGTATTACAGAGCACGAAAGCACGGTCTAGTAGAGTCTTGATGATTCCTCTCTCAGTCGATTGATGGTGGTTGAATTTCTGGTTCAGATACTGTCCTGTGTGAGTGGGTTTTCGATATACAGATGTTTCCCATTTAGTGTCGGTCCTCTTCACCAATACGTCTAAGAAAAGCAATTCGTTGTGGACTTTTTCAAATGGTATTATCAAAATTGAACGTTAATTTTATTTTTCATCTGATGTAGGTTCCACTAATGAGACTGTGTACACAAACTACATTCTCTGTATTAGACAATACATGAAGTTACCTTATACGGGGTTGAGAAAAAAATCTTTGTGAAAATTTCAATATAATTTTTGTATTATTTCCCAATAGACGCGCATTTTACAAAAAATATGCAAAAAATAAAAGCTCTCCTTTGCAGATGGGTTGAAAATTGCATGATGATTTTTTTTTCAAAAGATCCTCTGATAATTTGAGAAATGACACAACTTTTGCAATTTTTGGGTATTAAAATTTGACAAATAATATGAATCACGTGATTACTATTCTTCAAATTGAATATTCCATCTCGATCAAAGCAGAAGTTGATGGCAAAGTTCAATTCCGAATAAAACAAATGAAAATTGGATATGATAAAAACTTTACAGCGATTTTGAAATGGAAATCGAAGATGAAAGAGTGTAAACTTTTACGGCAGAAGCTATTTTTCAAGTTTTTGGCCGTGGTCTGCTAGTTTCCATGCCTGAGGTTTCGTCTACTACTGCGGAGACATTATCGAATGCAATGAGGTAAAGGTCGCAGTGCTCAACGCAAAAACTACAATGTTGGAATTGGTCTCCGGTTTTATATCATCATTGGTGAGCGTGGCTTCGTTTCTCTCAATTGGATCAAATGACCTTGTTTGTGTACAATTGAGGACAGGTAGCCAGATTTCACTGCTGTTCATTGACTCTTTCACGAGTCACAACTACAAGGAATATGATATACCCCGAGTATTGATTAAGGCTCTCTAAAGTCCTTAGATGAACTCAGACTTCCTCAATCAATTTTTAGACCAATGAAGACTGAGGTTTAAGAGTGTGAGGTCAGCTAAGGATCCCAGAAAGTTTTTAGCAATACAATATGGGGGCGACAGCTGATTACCGGAAAACAGATTTTAAACAGATTTTAAACATATTTTAAACAGATTTTCAAACCCGGGGTAAATCGGCTGCAACGCCTTATAGCTTCAGGTCGGTCTGAATTGAAACCACGAAAAGAGTTATAGATGCTCGTCTCAAACAAATCGAAAAATTGTCTGTAGTAGAACATGCTCTCAAAGAGTAATACTCTTAATATCCATGAAATATTTATTTATTTTGTAAAAACTGTGTGAAATAAATTAGCAAATATATCATGCAGCGCGTAATTCATCATCTGTGATAATAAATTTGAGATCCTTCAGTATTGCTATGATTATACCACCAGTGAATGATGTTGCTGCTCAAATAGACGTTCAATGAATATTATAAAAAGTTGGTCTACTGAAGCTACTCTTTCCTCAGGTATGAAATCATTAGAACCAGTATGGACAGTATAGCGAGCACAGACGAAATCCTTGCCAATTTTTTGGGAACAGAGGCCAAAAGGAGAGTCAAACGATTTTGGTTTGAAGCCTTCAAAATTGCTGCACCTTATTTACTGAAACCCTTAGGAGAAGGCTTTTCAAAGCTTATTTCTGGGGGAAATATTGATAAGCGGCGTCTGCAGGAGTATGAAAGCCAAATATCTCAGTTGAGACAAGGCCAGGAAGACATTATTAATGAGCTAGGCGCCCAAAGAACAATGTTCCAGCTGGATTCAGAAAAGAAAGGAAACCAAATCAATTTCCTCAAGAGAACCCAGGAGGGTATCCAAAATGAACTAAAAATCCTCAAGAATACAGTTGGGCAGAACTTCGAAGAACACGAGAAGAAAATTAAAGACTTGAATGATATGCTTAGCGAAACCAATCGTAAGCTGAAGCAGCAAGAAGACAGACAACGACAGTTGATCAGTGACGTGGAACATATAAAAAACGACGTTGAAAATATTTACGACAATTTGGACAGTATCGAAAAAGAAATCAGCATCAACAGAAATGATATCAATGCTACGAAAATCGAAACAAAACTCAATACAATATCCATTAATTTTAACTTTCTGTTATCTCGTTTCGAAGCCGAGCAGAAAACACTCCTGGACGTTGTTCAAAACGCGAATAGAGGTTTCTTGGATCCTTACATTATCACTCCTTTACATCTGATAGAAATGCTGAGAATTATACAACCCATGTTACCGGAAGATAGCAGACTACCATTTCATCCCACCTTCGAGAATGCTAGAACCCTTTACAACATCATCAAACCAACAATCTTCCTGCACAACAACAAAATCTTGTTTATCTTGCAAATTCCTTTGGTGCATACCAAGTCTTTTGAAATTTTCAAAATGACAAGCTTTCCGATGCAAGTGGCGCGGGACAAATACGTTTATGTTTCCCCAAAGAAGGAGTATTTGCTAGTTAACGATAAGCAGACTCATTTGTTGGAGTACGTTTTGACATCAGCTGCGAACTTCAGGGAGTTTTGTCAGAATCTCGGGAGAGGAATGTATATTTGCGACCACATTCAACAGACAAATGGACCTTCATCGAACCTAGAGTGCGAAGTTCAGTTGTTCTCAAACAAAAAGGAACTTTCTGGAAGCTGCAATACGAGGGTGATGAAACTAAAGAAACCTGTTTTCATCAAACTTCTGGAATATGGAGCTTGGATATATGTTGCACCATATAACGAAAACCTGGTAATATCCTGCGATGGTGGTTCGAGAAAAAATGTTAACCTCAAAGGAGTCGGATTTCTAAATTTATCCAAAGACTGCACAGCCCAAACTTCAGAGTTTAGCCTTCGGTATACCTCTGGTTCCAAACCTGTTGACGTTTCTGGATCTTATTCTCCTGTCATGAAGCTCACAGATTATATCGACACGTCTAGGATAGAAGCGTTCGACGCGGAATCGTTTGACAATCACAAACAGGTGATTTTACCGTTCGAGCTGGGAGAATTGGATACCGCAAGCGTAGGGATCAGGGATATAAAATCTTTGAATGACGGAACTGACTATACTACTGTAATATATGTAGTTGCTCTAGTCATAGTTGTGATGATAGGGATTGTTTTATTCAGGAAGTCGATAAGCCAGTTATGCTTCAGAAGAAAATGTACACAGCGAGAAAATCAGGATATACCATCAAGGTATCAATACTCCACAGCACCAAATAACGAAATCGTGACAAAACAATTTCCATAATGCCTAAAATCATATACCCACCGCATGCTTCGAAAGTGAAAAAACAGTACAAAACATTCAAAAAAAGTTTCTGGGAAAGGTTCCAATCTTTTTCCTGGATATTGGTTGATGTAATTGGGTGTGATATTGATGGAAACTCAAGGTCAAATAATAAAAATTGTATTTGAATTCAAAGGCAGGTTTATTTTACAAAAGGAAAACTTATATTGTTTATAACAATGAAAAAGAAAATGGAAATTTTACTTCAGAATATTTGACTAGTTCTCGCTATGACCATGACCCTCAGAGTCTCAGCTCTAGTTCAAGGTCATTCTCAAATGTGAAACCTTTCCTTTCAGTGATATTCTAAACCTTTCTTTCCTCACGATCTTCAAAATCTTGGCATCTCCTTTCCTTAATGAAGGCAAGGAGATGTAGATCTGATTACTGAAGAGGTCATATGCCTCTGCAAAACTGACTTCTAGGGTCAAGATCGTAATGCTGGAGGTCGTTGAGAACGTATCCTGACGTGAAATTTAACACTTTTCAAATATGGGTTTCCGTGAAAAAACTGACCTTAGCCTTGATTTGACCATCGAGGTGATGCTCGAAATCGAATCTATATCATCGAATTACCAGAAAAAATATCAAAACTGTTTTCTGTAACTATTTTTCCGTTAAAAGCTTTCCTCAAAAGTTATTTCGCCATTTTTTTTACCTTTCATATGGTTAAATCATTTCATCTTCTTGTTATTTTTGAATTTGTATGATTTTCTCAAGTATTCAGTTATAAAATGTCATAGAAATGCATGTAAATGATTATTCGATATGTTCAGTGATGTATTCAATTATACTATAGAATAAATATATTTTTTTATCTCAAAAAATTTAATTCAGACAATTTTTATAATGGAACATCTGAAATTCAAACAGTAGCTTTGATAGCAATGGAAACATAATTGAAAATAATCTAAAGAAATGATAAATTGATGGATGTAGCCGTTACTACGTGGTAGGAAATCATAATGAAGAAAAAAGAATAGAAATTTTCTGTGTCTACCACTTTTATTTGTAACTAACGTTACTGCAGTTTCATCCTTTGAGGACATTTTCAAACTAATACATTAAACTCTAGTTTAATGTATGTTTAATTAATTGGCCCCGGAGCGCCAATTAATTTTTATTGATAATTTAAAATTTCATAATATGTATTTTGGAATTGTTAAACAAATAAATAGTTCAAATGAAAGTAGTGAAAACATAGAAAGTTTCTATTCTTTTTTCTTCATAGAATAGAAATAGTCAAACACCAGGACCTAACAAACAAACAAATAAATTGAGCAAGAGAACTGTCATAGATTTGGTCACCAGAAATGTTTAGAAATATTTTTTGAAGCTATGACTTGTTTCAGATCCTTTTATCTCTTCCGGTAATTAATTAAACAGTCGAGAAGCTATAGCTCTACATGAACTATAGCTATATTGTATGGAACATGAAAATCATTTTTTGACGTGTGTTAAATCTATGAAAAGAACGAATTTTAGCGAAATCACCTATAATTTTTATATAAATACAAACAGACCTTGAAAATAACCAGTGTTAGTGAATTTGAAATCCTTAGATTTTTAAAGTGATCCCTGAAAGTTGACTTTTTTAATATACCAGCTATTATATGAATAATTCCCTTATGGGCAATGGAAACACTTGCTGATGAACTAGATAATCCCCAGAAAAATACTCCATATTTCAGTTCTGCAGTCTATCTGCACATGATAAAATTTCAGAAGTTGATCAATGTTTAAAACCAGAGAGTGTCTTACTCCATGTAAGACACTCATCCATGTGAAAGACGTAAGAACTTGACTTGAGAGACAGATATTTTTATAAAATTGATTAGAGATGATTATGTTTTAACAGTGTTTTTGAGCATTGTGAAACCAAAGTGAATTTATTTATTCCAAGTTCAAATTTAAGTGAATCGCTCTGAACCGGTCACTGACACTCCTAAAAGTGACCCTTGGGAAACTCCAAAGGCGACCTTCTGTACCGAGGAAGTTATGTCATTAAGAGCAACGCTGATGTCAAATACCCCCTATCCGTATTTCAGGAGCTTATTTTATTCACTTCAATAATCCGAAATGTACGAAGTAACGCATACGATCAATTTAAAAATTAATGTTTCTCTTATTGGATTGATTTCTGAGTGTTTCCTAAATATTTCTCTCTAGTAAAATACTTTTGATCTTAATCTGGAAAAGAAAAAAGGAAATTGGAAAGGCTATTTTTCAGGAGATATTAATTTTTTGGGAAAGGAAGTTTTTGGCTTTCTACTACTCCATCTTCATACAAAAAATGATATGGGAATCTTCCAGAAAGTAAGAAAGTAATCAATTCGAAAATAAGTAACTCTAACATGGATGTGTAGATCATGCAAAGAAGTAACTTTCAGACACAAACTGAAAGAAAGTCCTCCTGAAACAGCTACTTTCATATAAACATTGAATTACACGGAAGAAAAAAATTCTTTCGGAATAAGTTTGATCTACTTGTGACATAAGTAGATTCATGAATTGTGTGTATTTTCGATAATGTCATCCAATTTGGTACTGAAGAGCCTTAAGGCAAGTGTCATACGGCGAAACATCGATGTATATCAGTGAGGATGACAGTGTTTCATGTAAGTGCACTTTGTTACCATTCATTTGAAGCAGAACTCCTGTGAATTATAATCTGATTTCATTCGATAACGAATGTTTGGAATACAAACTGCGTAGAGAAACGTATCTTCTGTATAATTCAGTTTTCATATAGAAGTATTTGTTTCGAAAGATTTTTTTCTTTCGTGTAATTCAATGTTTATATGAAAGTAGCTGTTTCATGAGGACTTTCTTCCAGTTTGTGTCTGAAAGTTACTTCTTTGCATGATTCATACATCCATGTATAGAGTTACTTATTTTCAGATTGATTACTTCCTTTGAAAGATTTCCTCATCCTTTTTTGTATCAAGATGGAGTAGTAGAAAGCCAAAAATTTTCTTTCCCAAAAATTAATCACTCCTAAAAATATAACCCCTTCAATTCATAGTAGTTTTTGTATAAAGATGGAGATGTAGAAGTCAAAAAGTTTGTTTTAAAAAACTCGCCACTATCCAAAATCAAAAGAGACAAAACGTATCAAAATAATATATATGTAAAGAAGAAGTGCAACCTCGGGCATACAATTCACCAGAACTGTATTAACATTTCAGACTTGTGTTTCACCAACCAAGGTGACATCATCAGGAGATAAAGTTTGCCGGAAGCATCTAGTATGGTATTCAGTTGAAACTAGAACTTTTGACGAATCATACATGATCGAATAGTAAGGCTCAATTGTTCCTAATCGATTTCCGATGATATATCCCCCTACGAAGACGAAGACATCATCTATGGAATCTACAGAAAATTCAAACTATTATTATCAGTGACAAACATAGCTCCCAAAGGCAGTTCGTTGCAAAACTCATCGACCGTTGAACGAGATTATCCGTTGTCGGGATAACATTTATTAACACAAAACACAATGAAAAAGAAAACACGGGAAAGAAAATTACAGGGTAATCTCGAGGAACTAACGATAAGTCTTTTCTCGATTAGCGAGGAGATTGTAGAGGGGGTTTAGTTCTCGGCGGAAAGCTCTGAATAAGAAATAGTTCTTGGTCGAAATTTCAGAACAGGATTGATGAATGCATCGACTAACAAAATGTGTTCCCAGTACCTCTTGGAAAGTTATCTCTCACAATGCTCGGGGTCATAAATTTTGTCGAAAAAGGTCAACTACTTGGATCCTTGTCTTAATCCATAAAAGTGTTAACAATGAGTACCTACTCGAAAGATCCCAAGTGGTTTCGTTCTGAATATTCATCTGTTTTTCGGCAATGAACTCTCGGTTTGAGAGCATTTCCATGATGAAAAAAGTACGAAAATAATAAGTAATAATGAAAATAAAAGAATCAACATAAAAAACCCTAGCAGATGGATATTTTGAATGACTGCTCGATAATAGAGTTATAGAAAGATCATTTTCTAACAAGAATTCATAATACAAAAATTAAAATCAATAACGAAATGAAATGTTTCTAGAGTAAATAGTTGTAGGAAAAACCCTACACCGTAATTCTTTATCTGTGGTTCTCACTGGAAGGCAACTAGTTGAAACTAGATCTCTAGCATTCGTGATTCAACAACAGACTGAATCCTATGTGAACGAAAATGTTATTTCTTTTTCTATTCAGGTTTTTCTTACGAAGAGAAATGAGTTCTGCAATGTATGCATTGTTCAATCAAGTACTACTAGAACCATGGTAAGTTGAAACAGTGGTACCAAGTATTGGATCATGATTTTCTCTTTGGGTTATGGTTTCAACAAACATTTTTGCTTCCTTCACGATGTTTCTTCATCTTCATACTCCCCTTCAAGTGCATCTTTATGTATTTTATTAGTTTCATATAACAACCACCTTTAAAGGATATGAAGGTTCAAATATCTATATGAAGGATCTTTAGATTAATACTGGGGAATCCATGTTTACTTGATATAGTTATTATAATAAATTTCATTTAAAAAGTGCATCTGATATTGTAAAATGAAAAGCCAAGTTCATCTCACGCTTTTTTACAACTCAATCGTTCAACGAAATAATCAAAAAGCAGTATTGAAGGTTATTACTCTTTACTGCAAAACAAAAAATAATAAATGGAAAATATAACATTAACTTCATAACTTCAGAATCAGTGAATATTGTCCTAACTAACATCAATATAGTTTTTTCATTCAGCTCATTCAGTCAAAATACCTTCTTCAGATTCGTCATCAGCTCTTGAAATACCAGGTCGTATCTTCTCAACACCTTCTTCAAATTCTTCATCAGTTCTTGAAATATCAGCTTGTATTTTCTCAACTTCCCCACTAATCAGATACTACATACTGATGAAAAGTTATTTGTTCAACTATTTTTCTAATTGATAACGAGTGATATTCAAAAAAAATCAATGCAGAACTCATTTCAAAATTCCAGAGTGTTTGTCAAAAAAAAGTTATGTATATTTTCCGAAAATTACTTTTTTCGGTTTGAATATTATTGAGTATTATTGCACATAACCAGTTCACGTGCTGCTAACATATACTTTGGTAATTGCATCATGAGAAAGATTGACAACAAATCAATATTCAATTACTGAAGCAGTCTTCAATATATATTTCCAGAGAAGGCTAAAAATTTAATTCCGGCAATAACCTTTTCCGTGCACCTTAATAGATTCAATTCGACATGTCAATTGATATGAAGGGAATAACCTTTATCTTTATTGCCCTCATAATTTAATCAGAAACTTCACTAGCAAGATTGACCTTTTCCGATTCAACGTGATTTCATTATAATATCACGATGACATTATTATAGTCTAAAATGTTTCTGAAAAGCTCATTAGAATCCGTTCTGGGAAATTGATGTCTGATTAACACCTTGTCCATGAATTTCCAATTTCATTATCTCACTTGGTGATTGATGAATGCCAAAGTGAATTTCATAGTGTAGTAGGGAAAGTTATCAATTTTTCATTATCAAAAATGCATGGAATACATTTTTGTGGTGGTGTGATGTTCCACAAGGCACGGTTCTCGGACCACTTCTATATTTATTTTATATAAATGGTCTTCTG